AACATTACTAACTTAAGGGCTTGAATTTGCTTTTTAAAATAAAAATCCTATCTTTGATGTTAACTTTGTTTAAAATCTCCAAGTGCTTTGTGAATGTAAGCTGTATCAAATCAGCCACTCCTGCTGTCTCTTTAAAAACCATCTAAGAAGCACATCTTTGACACAGTCACTGAGCACAGCAGGCCCTTTCCCTGAAGTTCACCAAGATCACCCACAGGAAGCAGTCCTCCCCAGCACTGGGGTTCTTGGGGTGTCTGGGAAGTGACGCCCATCTCACTCACCTGGGTCAACAAGAGCAGGTTAAGAAGTTCCTCAGCAGGGAGCGCAGAAGGAGACGGGTGCAGTCTAGGACTTGCTTCTGAGTAGTCCGTTTTCCCACTTACGTCCCTTATCCACTCTAGACATGCCCACCCTGCTCTCGATGCTTCCTGGTTCCTAGGAGTCTTTGACTTTCTCAGCGGAAAGAGGTCATCAGATATTGCTTTTTGGTGTGAGTTTTTGCTCTGTGTTTTGAGACACAATCTTACTCTGTATCGAAGGTTGGCCTTGAATTTGTGACAATTCTGCTTCAGCCTCTGAAGTATGATTCTAGACAGTTGCCAAGTTCGGGTGTTTTTCACTTTAAAGGTGTTTGGACTTGGTGTCCTGCCTCACTTTGTACAGAAACCAAGAAAACCTACCACGATACAGCCCTGTTTTCCCTGTTAGTGGTGACTGAGTCTTTGTATAAAACCTTCCATAGAGCTGACTGCACTTGACTTGAGATTTGACAAGTTAAGTCTGAGATATAAAGGAGACATGCCAAGTGTGGTGGCACATGTCTATAATCCCAGGACTAGGGAGTTGGAGACAGGAAGATCAGGAGTTCAAAGTCAAGCTGATCTGCATGAGATTCCATTTGATTTTTCGAGACAGTTTCTCTGTGTAGTCTTAGCTATCCTGGAACTCACTCTGTAGACCAGGCTGGCCTCGAACTCACAGAGATCTGCTTGTCTCTGTCTCTCAAGTGCTGGGATTAAAGGCGTGCGCCACCACTGCCCAGCTGAGATTCTGTTTTAAAAAGTAAAATAAATGTGACATACAAACTGAGGAACCTGGCAATAACTAATGAAGCGGGTACACTAGGAAGGCGCGGAACATAGCACCCCGTTTTCTCTCCCCTCTCAGCCTTGCAGGAGGGCCCAATTGGGGCCCCTTGTTGGAAATGCTGATTGGCTTAAACTACTGAGGAATAAAATAGAAAACTGAATTACTTAATAAGTCTACTTTGTTTAGTCAGGGAAAAGGTCCTAAAGCAGGCAAAGGATGAGGTTCCTGAAGAAAAATATTTGCAGGCATAGCTGGGTCTGTTAGACCAATGGAATTTAGCCTTCCCCTATGTACACTGTAAACCAAGTCCAAGGTAGACACTTTGACTCATCCTACATTGGCAGTGTCCCCTGGAACCCCTCCATTTCATAAAGCACAGAATTCCCAGATAGACAAAGGCATCACCAGTGGGGAGCCAGGCTGGGGAGATGGCCTCGGGGGAGCACTTGAAGTGAGTGTGAGGACAGGCTTGGGTCCCAGCATCTACATAAATGTTAGATGATTGTAACAATCTGCCTCTCATCCCAGTTTCCTGTGACAGAGCCGGGGTCCCCAGAGCCAGCTCTATCTCAGCCTATAAATTAGAGAGCCATTGAGGAAGATCATGGACATCAACCTCATATCTCCATGTGCACAGTACATGCACACATACCACACATGAAAAAATATGAGTGGAAACCATGTGCCTGTAATCTGAGGTAATAATAGAAAGTTGGCCTAAGATTTTCACTTTTGCGTAGTGTGCTCTAAGCCTTTAATCTCAGAGGGAGGCAGAGGCATACGGAGTTCCAGGCCATCTGGGGCTGCATAGGGAGAACTCTGTCTCAAAATTTAAAAAATTAAAAAAAAAATATGTCGTGGAATAAAAAGGATTTTAGTAAAGAGACATGAAGTAACGCCAAGACTCATCAGAAAGAGCGGTAGGTGATGTGTACTGACTAAACAGGTTAGGGGCTGGGTTGTAGCTCGATGGGAGAGTGCTTGCCTAGCATCCGTGAGGGCCTAGGCTCAATCTCCAGAACTGCAGAGAAGCGGTATGTGTGACTGTTGAAATGTGTACTGTAATGAATAGACATGATTATGTATAGGTGTGTGTAGAAGATACTGTTCCCTCTGGGAAGTGAAGTTGAAAAGGAAGAACTGTCACTGTATTAGGGACTTGTAAGCCACTTGACTTTCCAAAAAGCATTTATTATTTTTCAATTAAAGATTCTTGAGAAGCAGGAGAAATCATGGCTCCAGCAACTATGCTCTCATGAAGGTTTGATTGGCAGCTGAGATGGTGGTCACATGCAGAAGCGCACGCGCGCTCACGCACACACATACACACACACACACACACACACACACACACACACACACACACACACACACACACACGGGCAACCCACCCCTCTGTGAGTGGAAATTGATGTGTAGCTGTGCTAGCAGTAACTTCTCAATCAACTAAAGCTGTCTGGTGTCTGGAAACAGCACAGGAAGCCAGTTCTGATACGTGAAAGCTGGCGACCTCTGGAGGAGTCTCCACTGTGCTGGTACCCACTAGGTTCTCAAGGCAACTGCATCTGAGACAGTCCTGGAGGCTATCCCATCACATTTGGTTCCCTGCTCATTCCATGGCACCCCAACTGCCACCTCTTCCGCCCATGGTTACATTTCTCCTGCCTTTCTGAATGATGTCCTAGCAACCTTACCTCACTGTATCTGTTCCTCACTGTGGTGTTGCTCCCGGTTATGCCCGAGACAGTCTCAGGCAGTCATTATCACTGTGGGCCTCAAGGGCCTGGGGTTCTATGTCAGCTCATTAATACTAGGAAGCTGCCACATGAGCACAGCACACACCTCCTTGGTTCTCAGTTCATACTCTGAGAAGACACAGATGCCCATAGGGTGTTCTACATGGCAAAGACTGCACCGTTAAAGTAGGGCGTGGCAGTCTCCTGGTCTCCCCTTTCCAGAAGGAGCAAGGACTCAAGAGTTACAGTTAGAATTTTGGAAGTGCACATTTCAAAATGGTCTGCTGGTTACAACACAACAGTTTTGTTTTCCTAAGGTGGGAAATATGTTGACAGGACCAATGTAAGTTCTGTTGTCATTTAAAACATGCATTTGTCTTAGCATGGTATGTACTCACTCATAAGTGGATACTAGATATACAGCAAAGGATAACCAGACTACAACCCACAGCTCCAGGGAGGCTAGCTAGTAAGGAGGACCCTAGGAAGGACGCATGGATTGCCCAGTGATGGAGAAATGGGTGAGATCTACATGAGCAAACTGGGGGTGAGGGGAGGGTAATGGAGGGCAAGGGACAGGGGATGAGAGCTTAGGGCAGCGGGAGGTTTGAGCTGGAATGGGAACAGAGTGGGAGAACAAGGAAAGAGATACCATGATAAATGAAGACACCATGGGAATAGGGAGAAACAGAGTGCTGCGGGGGGAGGTGTCTCAGGAATCCACAGGAATGACTCCACCATAGACTACTGGCAATGGTCAAGAGGGTACCTGAGCTGGCATACTCTGGTGATCAGATGGCTGATTACCCTGACTGTCATCATGGAGCCCTCATCCAGTGACTGATGGAGAGAGATGCAGAGATCCATGGCCAGGTGCCAGGCCGAGCTCCAGGAGGTCCAGTCGATGCGGGAGAGGAGGGACTCTGTGAGCAAGGGATATTGAGACCATGACTGGAAAAAGTACAGAGACAATTAGCCAAACTAGTGGGAACACGTGAACTGTGGACCAATAGCTGAGGAGACTCCATGGTACTGGACTGGGCCCTCTGGATAGGTGAGACAGTGGGATGGGGACCTGTCCCTAGTGCATGAGCTGGCCTTTTGGAGTCTAGTGCCTATGGCGAGATACTTTGCGCAGCCTTGGTGCAGGGAGGAGGGACTTGGACCTGCCTCACCTGAATGTACCAGGCTCTGCTGACTTCCAATAGGAGACCTTGCCTTGGAGGAGGTGAGAATGGGGGGTGGGGTGGGGGGGAAGACAGGAGGAGGGAGGACAGGGGAATCTGTGGTTGGTATGTAAAATGAATAGAAAATCTCTTAATAAAAACAAAACATGCCGGGCGTGGTGGCGCACGCTTTTAATTCCAGCACTCGGGAGGCAGAGCCAGGCGGATCGCTGTGAGTTCGAGGCCAGCCTGGGCTACCAAGTGAGTCCCAGGAAAGGCGCAAAGCTACACAGAGAAACCCTGTCTCGAAAAACCAAAACAAACAAACAAACAAAAAAAAACAAAACTTACTTAGAAAAAAATAAAATAAAACATGCATCTGACTCCAGGCAATGTTTGACAGGTCTGTCTGTATGTGTTCAGTGCTAAATGGAAACTTCGTCCAGAGCCTTTGACTTTTTTTAGTTTTTTGTTTTGTTTTGTTTTGTTTTGTTTTTTTGTTTTTCGAGACAGGGTTTCTCTGTGGTAGCTTTGCGCCGTTCCTGGATCTCGCTCTGTAGACCAGGCTGGCCTTGAACTCACAAAGATCCGCCTGCCTCTGCCTCCCAAGTGCTGGGATTAAAGGCGTGCGCCACCACCGCCCAACTTTTTTAGTTTTTAAATTATTATTTTATGTGCATCGGTGTGTTGGCTGTACCACATGCATGCCTGGTGCACACGGAGCCAGACAAAGGCATCAGAGCCCCTGGAACTGGAGTTACAGACAGTTGTGAGCTGGGACGCAAACCTGGGTCTTCAGGAAGAACAGGCAGTGCTCTTAACCTCTGAGCCATCTCTCTGGCCCCAGCGTTTGTCTTCTTGACAGGAGTGTGCTCACACAAAAAACTAGGACCTTAATATCAGAACTATTTATTTTCATTCATTTTTTTAAACAATTTTTCACAGTCTCTGAAACAACTTATTATTTAACATTACATTGGTCATTCTCTATAATTTATTATTTTCTTAAAAAAAAAAAAAGACAAAACTTCAGACCCTAGAATTTAAAAACAGAGTGGCTTCAGAGGTGCCCAGGAAAGCCCCTTTCCAAATAGGGCAGTGGAGAAAATGACTCCACGAAGATTCTCCCAGGACAGTGTGAGCAGCAGAGGGTTTGTCCATGGAAGCCTCCCCGGGATCCACTCCATTTCTCTCTGTTCATGAGGCTTAGCCCCCTGACTCCCGGCCGGGAGGTAGAGCAGCACAAGCTTCCGCAGCGGAGAGCCAGGGTTTGAGAGGCATGTGTTCTTGAGTCCTCTGCCCCAGTGGAACGCGTGGAAACTGCCCTGGCCCAGTACCTTCTTCCTCAGCCCGCTGCTGGGAAAGGGAGCACGGGTGTGGGCGCCCGTACACAGGAAGTGGCAAGGGTGAGTGCTTCCGCTGAGTCAGGTGCACACCAACTGCTCCCTTTGCTGCCGTCTGAGCCCCCTCTAGCCTGCCACAGGGTCCTGTCTGAACCCTCCCCAGCCCTCTTCCTCTAGCTCCAGATTTGGTCTTTAAGGAAAGGCTTCTAAATGGCTTCCCAGGTAACTCCCATTGTTCGGGACTATCCTCCATCTTCAGGGATTCTGCCGGGCCTGTTGACTGCCTACTTTTCCTCATAGAAGGAGGGGGCAGGAAGGATCCTGGAACCCTCACCTGCATATCCAACCACCCCTCCCAACTACTTGTATGCAGCTCTGGCCTATTGTGTGTGGTCTTGCGGGGGGGAAAGCCTAGAGCATATAGGTAGGAAAGAAAAGGTCTTCACTGAAGCAGTCATGAGGAAGTCATCCTTGCCTCTGGGTGCAGACCTTCTATTATTTTAAAGTCACCTCTGCCCAATCCCCTCATCCAGTGCTCTGTAAGAAACCTACTACATTCATTGGTTCCTGGGTGAACGTCAGCCGATGTCTATGTCTCCCCAAGGAAAGGGATTTTAGCAACAACCCTTTAGCTGCCACATGGGAAGTAGAAAAGATACGGACAGGCATTGGGGACCTGAAAGGAAGGAGAATAAAAGGAATGTTCTAGCACGCTTATCTTTGTATGCATGAATCTGCAGCCAAGGGCCTGCACATAATTACTGACCTCAGCTTCCATCATAGTTGGAGTGGTAGCTTTGATCTGCAGCTGTGGATACTGAAGCAAGAAGGGCGTGATGCCTGCTGCTAGAGCTTGGCAAATGGAAGCTGGGAAGGAGGCCCTTTCAAGTAAATATTGTGACAGCAACCTGAGAATGTGAAAGCCAAGGCCAACTCAGACCCAACCCCCAAGCTCAGCTGGAGCCCTGATAACCCAGGTCATTGAAAAAAAATTTAGATTTATTTTTTAAATTTTATTTCGTGTGTGTGTGTGTGTGTGTGTGTGTGTGTGTGTGTGTGTGTGTGTATACACCATGTGCATGCAGTGCCCATAGACACCAGATGAGGGCATCAGATTCCCTGGAACTGGAGTTACAGAAGGTTATGAGCTACCATGTGGGTGCTCAGAACTGAATCTGGGCAAGAACAGCCAGTGCTCTTAGCTGCTGAACCTTCTCTATAGCTCCATCCCAGGGCATTTTAACCTTTGCTACTCAATACAGCACTTTCCCATATAGCTTTCCAGATCCTTCAAGGATTCTCATGCTTTTCTCCATGATTCCAAGAGATCTAGGCTAATGCTGGCTTCCCCTCATGCCCTGTGAGGTAGGTGAAGACCACACACTCTTCAGTCCTGGATCTGACTGGAGACGAGAGTTGGTGACGAATAGAATGTAGCTGAATGAAGCCTGACATTATGGATTTTTCCTGTTGTACCACCCATCCAGCTGCCCTGGTCAACATAAGCCATGTTTTCCTCACACTAAACCCAAGTTTAGGCCACCTGATTAATTCTGTATGAGGGAAGATGAGAACACTACCTTCTGTTTCCTCAGTGCGCTCAGCTTCGCTCCCTGAGGTGCAGCTCAGTCCACCTCATCAGACTGCCTCAGGGCCTCAGGTTTGCTCACATGGTCTCCACAGCAGTGTTTATGGACGGAAGACAGGGAGATGGAGGGTGCAGAAGTTTGCGGACCAGACAGGAGCACAAAGGCACAGAGAGCATGTCCTAATGCTGGCCGCACATCAGCCCCTCTGTAGACACTGGCCCTGGAGACAGGGACTCCTCCATCAGGCCAGCATGGGATCATAGCCGGTGCTGTGAGCAGCTACTGATGCCTGCCTGTGTCATCCATTAAGGATCAGCATGGCCCTGAAGCTGCAACCAAGGAAAACTCTTGGCTGAAAGCCTCAGTTGAACTGTTCCTTGAACTACACACAAGTCCTAGAGCTGGCTGTCTATAGTGAAGTGCCACCTCAGCTGTCCCGTCAGGAAAGGGGTGCAGGCCAGGATGGCGAGAGGCTGCAGCAAGGATCGGCTCACTTTGTTCTTCGACTGGAAAACACTGTTTCTCTTGAGGTAGCAGTGTAATTGGGCACAGTCTTGGCTAACACTCAACGTCTTTCATTTCAAGCTCCTCAGTGGTGCTTTCTGCAAGCAAAAGACGGGTCAAAGGGTTGGGGAGATGGCTCAGATGGTCAAATGCACAATCATAAGGACCTGAATCCAGAGCCCCAGAACCCAGGTACGAAGCCTGGGCACACATCTGGAACCCCAGTGTTGGGGGCATGGGTGGAGACAGCAGATTCCCGGGTTTATTGGTCAGCCAGTCTAGCCAATCGGTGATCTCCAGGTCAGAGAAAAACTGCCTCAAAAATAAGGGATGGAGTGTGCGTGAAGAAGAGACCTTATATTGACCTATGACACACACACACACACACACACACACACACACACACACACACACGAGTCAAGAGGTTGAAAACCTACCACACAGTGGTTTCTTACAGTGAATGACGTACCACCTGTGGCTTCAGAAGCATGAAGGGATTTTCACAAGGCCCAGCGCATTACCTTGGAGCTTGTGTCTCCTCTTCCTTTGGAATTTGTAGGCACACCGATTGCAGACCCACATGAGGCTGATGAGCACCGCAGCCACGGCGGCGAGCAGAGCGAAGAAGACAGCAACAAAGTGGAGGTCTTCATAGCGGATCTCTGCGGAGCGACAGGGGGAAGGCAAAGTCTCTCAGTACTACAAAGTCGCCCTCCTGTGCCTGCAGCTCAGGGAGTCCCGGGGCTCTTACCAGACACATGCAGTACGATTGTGCCAAACTGCCTGCTCCCCGGGTGCTCTGTGACAGTGATGACGTAGTAGCCAGAATCCCTCACACCCACACTGAAAAGCTGGATGGAGCCGTTGTCGAAGGTGCAGACTCTGTCTCTGTGGCTTTGGGAGACATTGGCTGGGGTCCCTGGTTTCCACTCCACAATCTTCTGCACACCCCAGGTTGAGGTGTACTTCCACTCAATAGTGGGCACCCCCGTGGCAGGAGTAGTCCACGGACAGTAGGATGTCTTCTTGGACAGTGGCATTGATGGCTGACCGTGGGATGTGCAACGACACACCCTGACCTGTAGGGTACACATACGAACCCATACTCAATCAACGGATCAGCTTCTTGATGAACATTTACTGAGCACCTACTGCATGCCAGCTGAGAAGACAGAGGCCCCTCCAGCTCTGCTCTATGTTCAGCAAGGGGTGAAATACTGGGGACCCATAAACAGAGCAACCTGCTGTGAGATAATGGCCAGTGTGCTGAAGACAGTAACCCAGGCTAACAGTGAGCTGTAGACGGGGATACACACGGCTTGGGAAGACCTCCCTGAGAGAAGGGCATTTGAGCTCAGACTCAGTGGACAAGCAAGAGGAGGAAGTCCCTGTGAGGGAGACATGGGGCAGACGTCTTTGGCAGAAGTGAAGAGAGGTCTGATGCCTGTGTCCTGAGGGTGAGCAGGGTGTGTTTGAGGGTGGCCAGATCCTCGGAAGGCAAGAAGCACTGGGCAGAGCTTAGGATGCAGAGCTAGAGAACTGGACAGGAGTCCAGACCATGCCCAGAGGTCATGGGAATGACAGGGTGCCTTAGGCCCAACGATGATGATAATATCTGCCATGGAGACCAGCCTGGGGTCTGAGAGGGTAAGAGTGGGAACAAGAGAGGCCACCAGGTGGTTATTGCAAGAGAGAGACCTGAAATAGAAAGGATGGGATGGGGCTGGAAAGATTGCTCAGTGGTTAAGGGCACTGACTGCTCTCCCAAAGAACCTGGGTTCAAATCCCAGCACCCACATGCACATGGCACATGGCAGCTAACAACTGTCTGTAGCTCCAAGATCTGACATTCTCACAGACTTCCTGTAGGCAAAATACCAATGCACATAAAATAAAAGTAAATAAATTAAGAAAAATAAAGGACAGTGTGATTTAAGACATGCACTCGGAAGTACTTGGGACTGGAGAATGATCAGCTGGATGTGGGTGTGGGGTTGGATAAGGCAGAGGCACCAAGCAGGGATTTCTGCGGAGTGTAAGGGAACAACAGATGTGTTTCACAAGTACTAAATAGGTACTATGTTGACCAATGCATACCAGACACCAGGCCCATGCTATTGAAGCCTCCCATAATTCATTGCCAGTTAATCAGTGGTTAAGCCTCAGGCTCATCATGATTAGAGAGCCTGTCCAGGGTCAGTCTGCAGGGCTGAGGTTTACACATGGGCAGCTGACTTCAAAGCTCAAGCATTTACATCTAGATTCAACTAGAAGGCCCGTGACTGGCAGTGGAGGGGACAGATGTGACAGGTGCCTCCCACACACAGGAAGTCTAGAGATGGGAGAGTGGTGACCTAGTTTTAGGTCAACTTGACATAGCTAGAGTCATTTGGGAAGAGTGAACCTCAACTGAAAAAATTCCCGCACCAGACTGGGCTGTGGAGCAAGCCAGTAGTGCATTTTCTTATTGATGATTGATGTGGGTGGTGTCACTTCTGGTTCTGGAGTGTAGAAGAAAACAGGCTGAGCCAGCCATGCGCAAGGAAGTTGGAAAGCAGTGCTCCTCCATGGCCTCTGCTTCAGTTCCTGACTCCAGGTTCCTGCCCCAAGTTCCTGCCCTGAGTTCCTTCAAAGGTAGACTGCGATGTGGAAGTGTAGGTGAAATGCACCCTTTCCTCCCTGGGTTGCTTATGGCCGTGGTGGTTTTATCACAGCAATAGAAACCCTAACTAAGACACTTAGTTGCCACCTTCATGTCTGGTTAGCTTTCTTGTCCTCTGGTGCCCTAGATCCCTGCTGTTGGCTCTAAGTAACCCCACATGTAATGTTCTAGGCCCTTTCTATTGTCCTATGGCGTTGATAACAGTATCCCTCTTGCACCCATTTCCGAAGAAGGCCTGGCTGGGTAACTAAACAATGCAATGGATTTCATGCTAAAATGTGGGTAGTAGGGCCATTGAGATGGCTCAGTGGGTTAAGGAACTTGTCACCAAGCCTGATGACCTGAGTTCAGTCCCTGAGACCCACATGGTGGGAGAAAACTGACTCCTTCAAGTTGAGCTCCACACAGTCCCCCTGGAATGTGTGTGCATGTGTGCGTACCTTTTCCACACAAAATAAATAAATTCAGTAAAAATCTAAAAATAATGACCTTCTAGAGTGATTCTGCCAAGAAACAGGAGTGCATTTACTTTCTCCCTCTAATTATGATACAACAAGGAATAAATATTTGATTTGTCTCCACTTCCTGTCACTGCTTTCCTAAAACCCTGGACACAGCATGACTGCTGGCTGGCGACCCCTAGATAGTTTTGGATTGGACTGGTCACCAGGAAAGACAAGGAGTGATTGGAATGTTGGAACTTTAAGTCCCTCTCCCAGCCTTCAGGGAGGGGAAGGGGGCTGTTCTTTCAGTGGTCTGCACACAGTCAACTCATGGAAAACCCTAAAGGACAGTACTCTGAGAGTTCTGGAGAGTCAATCAAACACACAGGTGCCTGCAGGGAAGCTCACCCAGAAACAGTAAAAAGCTACATGTGGGCAGCTGACTTCAAAGCTCAAACATTTACATCTAGATTCAACTAGAAGGCCTGTGACTGGCAGTGGAGGGGACAGATGTGACAGGTGCCTCCCACACACAGGTGCCAGCGAAGTCCTCCCTCCCACACCCCTCCTCCTGAGTCTTCTTCTAGTGTCCATCTGCAGCGTGTGTACAATCCTCGTGAATGAGTAAATGTAAGAACGGTATTTCTACACGTTTTATGAGCTGTTATTAGTTGAGTGCAAAGAGTGAGGCATGGTAACCTGTGACATGTGGCCAGGCAGTTGAAAGCATGGAGACAACCTGGGACTTTTTAAAAACAGAGTTATTTATCTTTCTTTTGTGCGTATACATTGCCTGCATATGTGTATATGCACCACCACATACATGTCTGCTCCCTACAGAGGCCACAAAAGGGTGTCAGATCCCTTGGAACTGGAGTTACAGATGTGAGCTGCTATGTGCTTGCTGACGACTGAACCCCTGTCCTCTGCAAAAGCAGCAAGTGCTCTTAGCAAATGCACCATCTCTACAGCCCCAGCCTGGGGCTTTTGATTGGCATCTGAAGAGCAGGGCAGCTTTGGGGAATGGACCATAAGGAAGGAAGTTACAGACACCCTGAGACCTCAGAGCAGTTGGTCTCAGACATATGCACACCATCATCCACCCCCGGAGATTTAGCTTTGGAATAGCACCATTTTCTTAGCACGTGTTGATTTATTTATGGGTGTGGCTGTGTGAGTATGTGCAATGTGTGCCGTGTATGAAGGTCAGAGGACAACGTATGGGGGTCAGATCTCTCCTTCCACCACGTGGGGCCCGAGGATGAACAGATTGTCGGAGTCGGTGACAAGCACCTCTACCCACTCAGCCTTCTCTCCAGCCCTGTGAGTGACACTGTTTGCTAATGTACAGCATATCTTCAGACTTCCTTCACTGTTCACAGAATGACCCGTTGTGTTCTTACACTGAATCTGATCCCTGCGTTTGGTCTTCATGCCATGCTAGTCCTGTTTAATCCCCCAAAGTTTCTACACCTTAGAGATGGTGTGAGACTTTCATGACGATGTTTTAAAACATCTTACTCTACATGTTTGGAAACAAGATAAAAGCACTGTAAAAGTGAGGTTTTCATGCAGCATCAGTCCAGAAAACAAATACCAGAAGTTTGTCCCACAGCGGGTGTGGGGGGGGGGGCAGGGTAAGTTGGCTAGATCACCTGGGTTGTGATTGGCACGTCACTCCTTTTCTCTAGAGACCACATGACCACCTTGTTAGGCAACACTTGTGCATTTGGAGGTTTGGACCTCTGCAGATGTGCCTCACCTCTGTTGGCTGTTTCATAGATGGTTACAGCCGTAAACCCATGATTTTTTTTTTTCTTTTGAGACAGGGTTTCTCTGTGTAACAGCCCTGGCTGTCCTGGAACTCAATTTGAAGACCAGGCTGGCCTCAACTCAGAGATCCGCCTACCTCTGCCATCCCAAACACTGGGATTAAAAAGTGTGCACCACCACGCCTGGTGATTTTTTTTTTTTTTTTTTTTTTTTTTTTTTTTTTGGGTTTTTCGAGACAGGGTTTCTCTGTGTAGCTTTGCGCCTCTCCTGGGACTCACTTGGTAGCCCAGGCTGGCCTCGAACCTCACAGAGATCCGCCTGGCTCTGCCTCCCGAGTGCTGGGATTAAAGGCGTGCGCCACCACCGCCCGGCGATTTTTTTTTTTTTATTTTAATTTAATTTTTTATTCCTATCCTTCTAAATTTATTGGATGGTATTATTCTGTTGAAAATAATAGTAACAAGCCATTTCTCAAGAAAGACTTTTCTCAAACAAGATAGAAAGGTTTGACCTCGTGCATGCCTCCCCAACCCCAGTAAAAAAAAAAAAAAAAAAAAAACTATTTCTCAAGATTAGCACAGTGGCTTATAATCCCAGAATTTGGGGAACCGAGGCAAAGCATGGGAAATTTCAGGCCATCCTGGGCTACATCATGTCCCAGGCCAATCCGAGCTACATAGTAAGACCCTGTGAAATTCAAGAGGGATGGGGATATTCTTCTTGGTGTTCCTGTAGACTTGTGGATTACTTTTTCAAATTTACTCTGTCATACTGATATCATGTAAACATGTCCTAGGAGGTAGCTACATTTGGCCAGTGGGAGCTTCTTTAGGCCTGTTAAATGTTCTTTGAAATGTCCTTGCTGATCTTTCAGCACTTTCTTGGACTGATTACATTTTAACAAGGACCTTCACGTCTCAAAGCCAAAGAATGAGAAACAAAGGTGATTCTGGCACCGAACCAAACTGGTGAGGGGATCTCTGAGAGTCAGGGGTGAGATCTCTGAGGGTCAGCGGTGAGATCTCTGAGGGTCAGCGGTGAGATCTCTGAGGGTTAGCGGTGAGGGGATCTCTGAGGGTTAGCGGTGAGGGGATCTCTGAGGGTCAGCAGTGAGGGGATCTCTGAGGATCAGCGGTGAGGAGACCCCTGAGGGTCAGTGGTGAGGAGACCCCTGAGGGTCAGTGGTGAGGAGATCTCTGAG